GTTTCCGAAAATAGGGGGTATCTTATTTTGGTGTCCTTATAATAAGGATCCTACTATTTAGGGTACTATATTAGGGTCCCCTATTTTCGGAGACCCCCATATGACGATCCTGGTGTTCTGCTGGAGGCTGGGCTCTTTGCTTTGCCTCAGAGGATCTGCGATGCTGCCGTGCCACTGGGCTGCCTTCGATCAGTCACATGTATACATGTAAGCTTCAGAAGACTGGTCGAGCACGGCAACCTAGACGCTAAACATCTCTAAACTTCTCTAAACCACAACCTTCTGGCCACACCGTACCTGTCTCCTGGGAAGGCTTCTGGCGCAGATATGAGATTACGCAGTCGGAAGGGTTTTCTCCCGCACATGGTTCTTCCCTGCATCCGCGTATAGCTTACTCCGGCATTCTGCTACTACCTGTAGTGGTGTCGTTTCTTGTTGTTGTGTCTGCGAAGCTTGCAACAAACCGTACAAATCCTAAAGCCTAGTCAGCCTAATCAATAAGCTGACATGGGTCAGAGGCCTCAGATGGGATCTGGACCTTTGCACTTCAATATTCGCGAATCGATAATATTCGGAAGTTTCACTATCGGCAGAACATCAGATCAAGGAGTGCATATGATTCCGAAAACTATCACCATAACACTAATGCTGCAAGGCGCAAGTTTAAACGAACCCTTCCCACAAGGAGCAGCAGAATCTCCAGGGTCATTCCAGACTTCTCCTTGTAGAGCAGTGCCTGTAATGTCAGCAGGAAGCTAACGAAGAAACGGAGGTTGACAGGCAGCAAAACAAAGACACACGCGCACACACACACACACCACACCACACCACACCCGGGCGCGCGGACGCACCGATGGTCGGTCGCATGAATGCAGCTCTTAGGATGTAAAACTATCAGCGTTGATGCCAACACGACGCACCGCCATATCTTCCCTGCCAGGAGATTGTGCTGGCTGCTGTTGGAAGCCGCTCGGCTTCGAAACTGGTTTCTGAGGGACTCCCGATCGTCTTACGACCCTTCACCCTGGAGACCTTCTAAGCCAACTTTCTTTCTCCCCGATCCAGAAGCTCCCAAGCCCCCCAAGCCCCTATTCCCCGAACTCCCGTATAAAACCCCGAAACTTCCAAATGAGTTCTGAGCCCTTGGAGCCTCCCGGCCGAGGTAATCCGCTGTCCCTGCAGTTTGCAGACGAGGCCGACAAGAGTGGCAGGATCAACTGGTAGGGGTGCACGAGTTAGTGTTGAACCATCTAGGGCTTTATGGGCTTCTATTGGGTTTCATATCGGGCTCCTATACGGTTCATATTCGGGTTCAGGGGTTCAGGGCTTCTGGCGGTTTATTGAGGGACATTTGCTTGAGGCCCAGGAGTCGGGTTTGGACCTCCTGGTTGCAATGCTTCTTAGTCTTAGTTTGTTCAGGATACATTGTGGCCCGGGAGGCCTCAATCTGTGGCCCGGGAGGCTTCAATACCTGAAGTACTCTTCAGGGCCGCAGACGAAGGCTCACATCAACGTTGCCTGAATGCAACTGCTCCAGATTCAGATTCAGTGCGGCACACGCTCATGCACAATAAATACATAGAAAAATAAACAATTAAATTATATATATACATACATACATACATACATACATACATACCTTTATTTATTTATGGTGTGCATATACTATATACAGTATAATTTGTAACGCGACAGATCAGCCTCAACACCACAAAGCCGTCGCTGCCAGTCCCTGCGGAGCGATTCAGCCATCGTTGGGCGCGCCGCCACTTTGCCCGCAGTGAAAGCCCAGCCCTTGAGGAAACTCCAAAGCCTCTGATAGCTAATCTTCCTCGGATCTGGAGTTTAAAACAATCTGGAGTTTAGGGCTGCCTTCAGCACTCCAAGGCTGAATAGCTAATAGTTTCACCGTGAATCGCTAATAGTCTCACTGCGCGTCAAGGCCAGTGGTAGGCAAGTTTTCAGAGCCTTTGTTCGGATGAGTTCTAGCGTGTTGGTCCTTGTGGCGAGGGCTTCAGAGTGCAGCAATATTGCAAGTTGTGTCCTCTGTGATTCTTTGTGGAGTTCCCGTTCAAGATGTAGGGTCTGTTACTATGAACTTGGTTTTTCCTTCCCACTAGCCGTCCAAGTTGCTCTCTGCTCTAGACAGCGAGTGCCGTAAGCTCTGGAGCCCCACAGCAATGCTAGGGGAAGTGGTGAACTGCCAAGGCTTCAACCCTCAAACTCTAAACCCCGCAAAAATCGAAAGACAGTGCACCCATGGGCCCCTAAGTAGTTCCATTTTGCGGTTTTCTTATAGGATTCTAACTACCCTAAACCCTAAACCCTATAAACCAGAAAAAGGAACTACTTAGGTGCCTATGGGCAAAGCCATCTTTGCCCCGAGGTCGCCGGGCGCAGTGCGGCGCTGCGCTTCGCCCTTGGTGCTGCCTCAGAGGATCCGGAGGCGCTGCAGGGCAGTGGGATTGGGCTCTTGGGTTTTGGGGTTCAGGGTTTGGGTTTTGGGGTTTCGGGTTTAGGGTTTAGGGTTTAGGGCCGTCCGACGCTGTCATACATCTTATAAGTATGTAAGTTTCCTTGTTTACGAGTGTAGCTTTCGACGGTATTGTGCGGATACCGAGACCTATTCATCCGGTTTTGGTCTTAGACTGATCAATGTTCTCTCCGTTGATGGGGCTTCCTTCGCTTCGGACGGCTCTTGCGACACTAGACTCCTAAACCCAAAAAACCCTAAACCCAGCTACTCTGCTTGTTGGGCAGTGGAACGGTCTCTGTGGACTCTGACATCGCTCAGGGGAGCTCCCCCTAGGGTTTAGGGTTTAGGGTTTTATGGTGTTTCGGGTTATGGTTTTGGTTTAGGGTTTAGGGTTTAGTTTCATCGCCGCCCAGAAGATCGAACCCTAGGCGATATAGAAGACATTTAGTTACTAAGGCTTTAATGTAGTAGCTTTTTAGGTACTTAAGGGCCTCAGTATATACTACATGGGTACACGAGCTCTTATGGTGTAAAGTAAGCCTCAACATAGCCCGAACCCAAAGCCTAAAACCCTAAACCATAACCCGAAACCCCATAAACCCTAAGCCCTAAACCATAACCCGAAACCCCATAAACCCTAAACCCTACCTGGGTCCTTCTCCGCTGACGGTTTTCTCGGCCCGCTTAGAAACAGCCCCTACGCCTAGATATGACCCTAAACGCCTAGATTCCTTGAGACCCCCTTGCTTATACAGGTCGGAGTTGGTTCTGGACTAAGGCAAGGCCCTGCAAACATGCATTGTAAACTTAAGATACTTCTCTATGCCGGATATCACTTCTAGTTTCATCTTCATCTATCTACCTAGCTATCTCCCTCATGGTCTAGCTGCTTATCTGTCATTCTTTCTACCCAATCGTTCACCGATATCCATCTACATGGATATCAACTGCAGACACTTAAAAGCCTTATGTCATGTACTTCTTCAACCGCCAGACTTTCAACCACCCTAAGCCCACCCTAAGCCCACCATAAGCCCAGCATAAGCCCACCCTAAACCCACCCTAAGCCCACCCTAAGCCCACCCTAAGCCCACCATAAGCCCAGCATAAGCCCACCCTAAACCCACCCTAAGCCCACCCTAAACCCTATATAGCCGAGCGATGACCGAGTGATCGAGATGGATCCGTTGCCGAAGAATGTCCTCACAGGCGGTGCGCCCACCCGCCACCCGTGCTTGGGATTGGGGTTAAGACTGCAGGTGATTGCTGTTTTGCTTTTGGCTTCTACCAGCGTCACTTCAAGGACATGTTTCAAGATGGGGCTTTCTAGGACTCTAGGATGCCACTCAATAAGGCCTTGTAACGTACGACTCTAGGATGCCACTCAATATAGGGCCTTCTGTAGGACTCTAGGATGCCGCGCAAAGTGTTTCCTGATGGCAAGCCTTGCTCCAATGAGGAGTGTGCGAGAATGGCTGGGCTTTGGGATCAGCATTCGGAGCTTCGGGGCAGGGCTTCGAGGGGCCAACGACTTATGCAAGATCGGAAAGGTGCAGCTGAGACTTGTTTGCCGAGCCTTGAGAATATGAGCCACAACTTCTTAGTGCTGAAAGAGATTGTGGACCAGATGAGCTCCCGCGATCGGCTTTCATCCGAGCCCGCCGAGTCCCTTGCAAAAATGTGTGTTGGCTGGTACCAGAAGCATAAGAACCACTACCAGAGCAATGCAAACCATGATGCTGTGGTTTGGGCTTTCAAGGATGCCTGGATCCTGCACAAGATGTTTACACTGCTCCGTACCAAAGTCATGCGGCCAGAAAAACCTCGAGAACCTCGACTTAACCCAACACAATGTATGTTCAAGACTTCCATGTTTCAACCGTGTTGTGTCTTATGCAGTGCTTGATGTCGTTCAATAGAATAGACCCACCTTCTCAAGCAAAGCCAGCTTCCCAGCTAAGGACGACAAGGTGAAGCAGCTGTTTGAAGTGCTCCATGAAGTGAAGAAGAGACAGAAGGCATATTACTCTTAAAATTGTAGTGTCGTAATTTGTTGGTACTCTGCATGAAGCCGGCCCTTCAAACATAACATCAACCCATAACCCATGCAGGCAGCAGCCCTCGAGCAAGGGGCTCCTCTGGCAGAGGATGAGTACCAGGATGTGGACGACGGCGCCGATGCTGATGGGCCTGTGGCTCTTGATGAGGGTCATGGGGCTGAGGCTCTTGATGAGGGTCCTGGGGCTGAGGCTCTTGATGAGGGTCCTGGGGCTGAGGCTCTTGGTGAGGATCCCGATGGGGCTGAGGCTCTTGGTGAGGGTCCCGATGGGGCTGAGGTGGTTGATCGGGCAAGCTTGACAAGGGATCAGAAGATTGCTTTGGATAGCGCGAAGGCAGGCTACCGCTTGGCCCATACAATCACTGAGACTTGGACGGAGGAGCACATGCCCGACAGTCCACCTGAGGATCCTGATCCTTTAGCTTCGCTTGGCTTGCAAACTCAGAAAACCTTTCTGGATGCTGATGGCGATGATGTAGATGAAGCTGTCTGCACAATTGAATCAAGCCCTGAAGTTGAAGTTTCATCATCCTCATCGGCTGTGCCCTCTGTGATCACCCGTCGCCCCCACATTCCTTCGAAGACCTGGGATCCCGCTTTGTCATCGAAGCTTTCTACAGAACAGAAGGAAAGGTTCTTGGAGGCATGCAAGACAAAGCTGAATGCGCTGAAGCCCAGCACCACTCCCTTGACATCAATGTGGGGTGTTGCCAAAGTGTTTTTGGGTTTATGTTTGGGCTGGCTCATGATAGTCTATCATAGGCTTGAGTCGGTTAGATCTTGGGCTGTTCTTATGTATGGTTTGTACTCAATTTCCGAAGCATTGAAGCAGAATCCTGAAGCCCCTGCAGGATATTGCCTGGCCTGAGTGCTGCTTTGGCAGGAGCAGCATCTGGGCATGGAGGGTATGCACCTTTTGTTGCTGCATCACCGGCGAATACCATCTACTATGGAGAAGGCAAATTTGTTTCATCTTATAGTTCATGGAGGGGCTGGGCTAGAAGGCAAATTTGTTTCATCTTATAGTTCATGGAGGGGCTGGGCTTTGTTCAAGGATAAGCTATTTGGGACTTGATGAGGGGATGTACATATTCTCTCTCTCTCTCTCTCTCGATTGGAAACATATAAGATAACTACGCTTTTCTTCGGCTTTCCTGAACTCCAGCAAGCTCTGCATGTAGATGGTGTTAGCTGCATGTGCACTTATCTCAATTAGACCTGCAAAACCATATTATGTGAGTGGTCATGTTTCTACATGCACTCTGAGTGACATTTGTCATGTTAAGCCACTTCACAGGCTTTGGCTCCCACATGCCGAAGAACCCCGACCAGGAGGATACCTATGTGCCAGAGAACAGCCCCGATCTCAAGCAGGCAATGGTGGCAACCGAGGGGGATGTGCCACAGAACAGCCCGGACCTGAAGCAGGCAATGATGGCAACCCAGGGGGATGTGCCAGAGAACAGCCCTGACCTGAAGCAGCAGGCAATGGTGGCAACCGAGGGGGATGTGGGTGAGAACAGCCATCACCTGAAGCAGGCAATGGTGGCAACCGAAGTGGATGTGCTAGAGAACAGCTCGGCTATGGGGAAAGCTGCACCTGGCATGGATGATGCAGTGTCACCTTTGCAGGCAATGGCATAGTACAACAAGACATGCATGAGGTTTTGTTTGGAGTTTTGCAACCTTGGCATGCATAGACACTTAAGAAGGTAGTCCTCTTAGGCTACATGGGACACCCTGATTCTAGGCCCCTGCAACGAAAGATGATCAGATGCGATTGATTCTTGAAGCCCGCAAAAACAAGAAAGCAAAGGCCGCCAACAAGGCCATTGCAGCTGATGGCAAGCAGAAGCCTCCAAAATCCAAGGATCCAGAGGAAGCCAAGCCAGCTAAGCAAGGAGCCAAGTCCAAGAAAGCAAAGGAAGCAGCTGCCCACGATGAGGAACCCAAGCCCAAGCGCAAGCGAGAACCCAAGTCCAAGGAAGCATCCGCAGGTGATCCGAAGCCGAAGGCCAAGCCAGGACCTAAGGCTAGCACTGACAATGAGGAACCCAAGCCCAAGCGAGGAACCAAGTCCAAGGAAGCAAAGGAAGCAGCTGCCAACGATCAGGAACCCAAGCCCAAGCGCAAGCGAGAACCCATGTCCAAGGAAGCAGCTACCGACGATGATCAGGAACCCAAGCCAAAAGCTAAGGCTAAGGCCAAGGGTGGAGCCATGAAGAAGCCAGCTGCTTTGAGGCCAGCAGTGCCAGAAAACGATGCACCGGTGCAGGCACCCAAGGGTCAGGAGCAAGAGGAGCTGCCCCACACGTTTGCAAGACGAGCGATGCCCACCGGTGCCCACGGCATTAACAAGTTTCGGCGCATTGTGGGGTCGTTCAAGGAGCTTGTGCTGCCAAAGCTGAAGAGTGGCCAGAGGTGTTCGGCCGAGGACCATATTAAGCCTTAAGATGCCTTCATCCAGCTTAAGGCTTAAGTTGGGTTAGCACAGCTACAGGTTCTAAGTGACGATTGGCTTAGGGAATGAAGTAAGTGATTGCTACGGGGGTTTGGTGATTTAGTGATTTTTGGGGATCTATCTTTTAAATTTAGCTCTTGCTCGACACAATATACATAGAAAGCCTAGTCAGGAATACCAGTGTATACCATATACAGACCATGTAGAATGGCATATTCTCATAGCCAGGGTTGTTTTTTGCAATGTAGACTAGACCCAAACCCTGCTGCAGTACAAGTTCTTCGATATGGTGCAAGCGAAGTGCAGAGCGTGGACAGAGTTTGAGACCAACCCATGGGGGTATATCGAGCAGGCAACCTACGAGTTTCTGCAGATGTGGCTAAGCAGAAGACAAGCAAGTATGTCTTCAATCCTCCTTCTAGATCCTTTTACCAGCCTAACCTACATGTAATCCCCTTATAAACCCTATGAGGCCCATGTATAGATATGTGTTAACCAAAACCTTAGAATGCCTAAACAGCAACAGCCAACAGCCAACAGCCAAGGCTTTCCGAGGATGGCGCACTTCCTGGAGTGGCTTGAGCAACCGTGTGATTGTCTGGAGCCTGTGCCAGCCGACAGCTAGGGTAGGTCTGAGAGGGCTTTCGGATTACTTTGGGTGCATGAAAGCACTCTACGATTTCATGCGGGGGTGGTAACCATCCCTTGAAAGACCTGCCACCTGTTTTTGGTGAAGCAAGATTCAGACAGGTTTTGATTTTGAGCACAGTTCCACTGACCTGCCTGGCCGGGCCCTGTGACTTTGTGGTAAACATGGGCTAGAGGCTAAGTCTGGAAACCCACTACATAGATTATTTGTTTGCCTATAATCCTGGGTACCCTGGAAGGCCTAGATGCTAGAGGTGGGTTGAACATATTGGGCAGTTTGGTGGACTACCCAACATGTTAATTGACCCTAGAATAACATATCTAAGTGTAGCTCCATCAAACTTCTATACTTTCATGATACAAGCCCAAAACCCCAAGCCCATGCTTCCATATGCACCCTGTCTCTACCCCCAGCAAGCATATCTGCAAGCCTACATGTAGTCCCACCTATACATCTGATGCCCACTGCAGAACAACAGCCTACAGTCCTATGTTGCTTTCTAGCATGAAGCTACATATGAAGTGCTACCACTGGAAGCTAAGCCCAGTACAAGCAATCAATGTAGCAAGTATTATACACATCTACATACAGGCTTTTGCTCATGTACACATAGGTATCTGTCTGTGTATCTATCTATCTATCTATCTATCTATCTATATATATATGTATGTATGTAGATATGTATGTATATATATATATAAAAATAGTTATACCTATCTAGATTGGTTGCTAACCCAACTCAGGATTGCCCTGACAAAACTTCGAGCCTTATAAACCCTAGACACCCTATCAAACCTCAGAAACCATGAAACCTTGGATACAAAGAGTTTGTGGACATCCGAAACTTTTCAGGCTGCAGTCATGTGTGTCAGGCTAAGATTGGGCCTACACTTTTTGTTAGGTGGTTTAAGCTTAGCCTAGATTTTCAGCTCATGGTTCATGTTTGGTTGGAACAGATTTGATGTGGGGTTTGGGGGTCCTTGGCTTAGGCTTTAAATTAGTCTCGCAAAGTTTCTAGGGCCTTTGCATAAGCCACTTTATGGAAAGTGCATGGTCGGCCATAGAGCAGGGCTTGGTGGTAATGGGGTCGAATGGCCTACATAGCTTGGGTGGCCAATCGTGCCACTGCCTCATGATTCGAAGATCTGCTGTGGTGGAGGAAAGAAGTATGTCTATGCAAATGCTCCGGTTGAAGCTGCTGCTACATTGACTGACACACAATCGGTTGCCTGCATAGATCTCACTGACTGTGTCATTCAATTTGATCGACATGGGGCCTGTGTGTGCATCCCCTGGCCACGCAGGTGTTTGCCTCTCTGCGGGGCAAGCGGAAAGCTGCAAAGGCCGGAATCCTGGATCCTTCCGAAGAGCAGCCATGCAGAGACCGACATGTTTACACCAGTTCTGGGTGAAGGGGTCTGCCATGTTCATATCGTACATGAGTGGCCAGCTATGAGTGCAACTGAGCATGATCCATCAAGTTAGCTATCAGCATGGGCACTTTGTGAGTTGGCTGCAAACTGTTGGTGGCAGTGCTGGCTCTAAAGGGTCACTACAGTGCTTGGCAGTTTTAGCTGCAATGGGCTCCTGGACGGAAGCAGACATTCTTCGTCGTCTGCGACGGGTCGGTGCCCCCAAGGTCTGCTGACTGCAGTATTCAGATATGTTGGTGCATGTGTCCATTGTCCCACTGATTGCTCATCCCCCAATGGCTTCACTTGTCCAGAGACCTGAACTGAGTAATGATGGGTTCTAGAACTGTGACACAATGGCTTGATTGCTGCTTCGAAAACCGAATCATAATTACGAAAAGAATAGTAGTAATAATAACTATTAATAATAGCAAGACTGCTAAGAATAGAGAGCCCATGCAGTGGTCAAGGTATCCCCAGCTTAGCCTATCCCTATCCTGTTCCCACTGCAGATCCTGGCCTTCGCCTGCTTGCTCCTCCTCTGGAACCAGGAAGTGGATCTGCGCACGGAGGCCTTCCGAGGCTTTGTCTATACATCTAGTAACCAGATAAGAGATCCAGGCAGAGAGAGAGAGAGAGAGATAAAGACGAGAGTCAGGAGGAAAAACAAAGAAAGGACATAGCATGCAATCAGTGTCCTGTACACAAAGGACTTAAGGGAATGAGTATTAGTAGCAAGGATCCTCTACAATTTAAGGTTTCTATAGAAAACTAATATGCTGGGGTTTGCAATAGGTATACATTTAAGTATGTAGAAGCAAATAGGGCTTTAATATAGGGGTTCTGCATGAAGCTACAGTGTACATCAGGGTTGCATGATGAATACAAGCTAGCAGCTAGCACAGATCCCCAAAAAGTGAAAGTCGGCTATGCTGGTTGCCCTGAGTATATGCTGGCCTTATGTTACTGGTATGTCCTGGCTAGTCCCTGCAGAGATGTTTGAGAGCTAGTTAGCCAACATATTGTAATGTATTCATTACTAGGTGCCGGGTTTGCTTCCTGATGAATGCATGTATGGATGTGCTTGCAAATGTATGCAACTATTAGTTGTATGTGTACATATGTATGTATATATATATATATATCTAATTTTACATAAACAAATATTTATATATACACATATTTATATCTTTCTGTATGCGTACTAGACATATATGAATGAGGAATAAAGAACTATGTGTGTGTGTGTGCATATACGTATATATGTATATATAAATATACATCTCTATATAGAGCTATACATAAATGAAAATGTAAAGCCTATTTTCATATGTTTCCATGTGTATATAGATATAAACATACCATGTATCTGTATAGTTTCCTCAAGCACAACCTTCCATGAATGCTTGCTTTTATACAACCTAGCAGGGACCCAAAACCTTAGACAGGACAATGTGTGTCTTATGTGCCTACCCACAGAACGTTCTTCACTCCCCTAGTAGGCATCCAAATCCTGAAACAGGTGTTCTCCTATGGCTTTGTGGAGAGCTTTGCTGGCAATGCCGAGGCCACCAAGCAGGTGGCTGCAATGTGGCCAGGGCAACAATGTGTTACCATGGATGTTTTGCAGTCTGCAGCACTAGATGTGAACAAGAATGGTGGCTTTGGGATACTCAGCTCAATCAGGTGGAACTTAGGACCATGTCATACATTGTGTTTCTCTTGTGGCTCTTGATTAAGTTGGGATCTCAGGGCCTTTCTGACAGCCACGCTGCGTGGGGACAGACGTGGATATCTACATTGGCTGGGAGTGCATTGTAGTTCTTTTGTCACCACAAGCCGGGGAAGCACGGGCCGATCTTTGGCAAATCCAGAAGGGTGCTTGGACCTCCCTGCCGTTGTATCTGCAAATAAGATGGCTGCTAGGCCGGGCTGTCTTGTTGTAGGTGTGGTCAAGGATCAGGTAGGGTTTGTGTAATTACTGTGGCTTTCTAGGTTTAGCTTAGATTTGCATTGCTCAGGCTGGGTTCTCTTGCTGATATATATATATAGATATATCTATATATGTATATATATATATATCTTTATATATATATACCTTTATATATATATATATCCATCCATATATATATATATATATTCATTTATATATATATATATGTAGTCGATAAACTCCCTCAGGGTGGCCCTATTGCTCCTGGCAACAACTGCATTTATTGGGACCTGGGTCATTGAACAGCCAAAGTCCTCACTTCTCTTCGAGTTGGGCCCCATGCAGTTTGTGTGTGGTCAAATGCAGGCACGACATCCCAAAGTGTCTTATCTAATGCTTCCTCCTGGTCTAACATCTAGCCCTGCCCCAGGTCTGGAAATCCAAATTCTGGATGTGGCACTATGAATCTCGAACCCCAAAGCCGACGGTTCTGTGGTCCTCAAGCCGGGCCATTACCAAATTTTGGCTAGGACGCCTTAAGCGCTCCGAGGTGCGGGCCAAGGCCGAGCTTCGCAATCCCCAGCGCCGTGGGCCACCTGTCAAGAGGTGGCAGGACAAGGAGGGGCGGAGCCGCTTCCAGGGCACATTTGATCTGAGGACTACTGGGTCATGTCCTGAGATTTCAATTCTTGGCTTCAGTGAGTTGTTACTTTGGCTAGGAGCTTGGTCCAGATTCGATGTGTTGTGCCTAGGCAGTACACAGCCGCTTTCGGGCAGAAGATTGCCTCAGAGCTCCATAGCTTGATCAAGTTCACCCCCAGACTCAATCATGATGATGAACTCCAAAGCCGTGAAGCTATAGATATTTGGAATGATTGGGAGTGGGGTGACATGTGGCACATGGCTGAAATGGTTGACTTTGTGCGGTACCTCTATGGTGCAAAGGCCATGGCAATCCCAAGTGAATGGAGACCAGTCCTCCCCAAAGAACTTTGAGCTGTGTGCACATGAGAGCAAGCTTCAGTGGTATGTGGAAACCTGGGAAGGCTGGGTGGCACTCTGCTGAAAAGGAACGGCTGTGGAAATCCTGGGTTTCATTGTGGGCTTAGAAATCTAAGGGTATCCAATTAAGCCTCTGTATGGTTATATATAGTGTTATAGACCTCCTGGCTAAGTCCCCCTAAGCTAAATTATGTGTCCCTCCCAAAGAAGTGATGAACCCTAAGCCTTGGCACTCTTACTTTGGTGTGGCAAAACTAGATGCTTCAGGTATCCCAGGCTCTGAAGCAAGGGCCGGCCCCAAAAGTTCAGGAGTCCGATAGGCATCTTAGAAGGGAAACGCCTAGAATCCTAGCACCCTTGCACCTGAATGCAGAAGCCAACTTCAAATGTGTTGCACCCAAAAGCTTGCTAGAAGGGAAACAAGCAGTTTCAGGGGTTCGACTTGGTCCCAGGGCAAACACGTGTGCATGTTTTAAAGCTTTGTGGCCCTCCTACATAACAGAACACCTACTTTTTAGCAGCCAGCAGCTAATCCTAAACCCAAAAAACCTAGTTTTAGATAGATTCCTATGTTGCTAAACCACGAACGCCCAGAAATATCCGTACAGCGCTCACAAACACCCATGCAACGCCCAAGAACACCCATACAACGCCCAAATATTAGAACGCCTAGAAATATACGCCCAGATTCACCCACGCAACGCCCAACCAAAAACCATACAACGCCCAAAAAAAAGCGTACAAAGTGTATGGCCTGATCTGTACCATCTCCCTGCTGGAGTCTTCCTTCAAGGCGCTGTGTGATCACAGCTTTTGTCTGCTTAGGGGTTTCTGTGTGCCTCCCTAAGCCCTTACAATGTCTTCGGATCGACGGCCGGAGCGCCTCACTTCCCGGCAGTGGTCATGTGAGTCTCTTGCTTCAGCTTTGGAAAGCAGGGATGCATCACAGCTTCTAGCTGCACTACCCGAAGATCCGCAGCAGCTTGCAGTGTTCATCCAGGCTAGAGTGATAGGGTTTCAGGATTGTGTCAAGGTATGCAGACATGCACCTTAAGTCGCTGTCCACGTTTTGTCTTTTATGCAGGTTCTATGTGTGTCTATGCATGTATATGTGTGTTGTGTAACTGTCTGCATTCATGCATGCATGCATGCATTCATACA